AGCCCTCATCATAGGGTCCGTACATTGCCTTTTGCTAAATTCTTGCAATTAATTGATAAGCGTATAAGAGACACGTTGCACTCTGTTTACAGATCTCATCTTCCAGTTACCTTTGCAGGACCTCTGATATGTGGGATACATGCTTCTGACACCACCTCGGCCCATCTGGCCCATTGGGAGTGCCATGCAACCCTATCATTGAAAGAGAACAAGTAATCCCATGTCATGGCCAGCAACGGGTTAAGAGGACTCTCTTTTTTTGTAAAAGTAGGCAGTAGGAGGACCTCTTCAGCCCATACTTTGGTAATCCTCACGCTCTCTGTTTCAGCCATATAATAGTTCTTTCCCCACCTGTCAGCAAAGTTTTAACAAATGAGTGCAATATCTGCTCTCACTGAGTTTTCATTATTTGCCCCTAAATTTCTGTAGTCTGCTTACTTGTGAATTATAAAAGTTATCACAGTATTCACGTATTATCAGAGTCAGATATTGTTATTGCTGCTTGTAATTGCAAACATCTCCCTCTTGTTTTTCTGTTGAGTTTGTTCTCATTAACTCACCAACTTCCATCCTCCCAAAAAAGGGCCTTCCCCCATCCTTAGTAGCCTATGTTGTAGTTGTATTGTTATTGCCTTTGAATAACAGGAGCCATTTTCAGAGACTTCTCTTGGAGGGACTTTGCCTTACTGTGTTTTAAGTTTTCTATTGCAGAACACTTTTTACCTATTCAGAATGTTTCATTTTATTGTGTCTGTGTGTTTAGTGGCATGACATGCATGGGTTATGATCCTCAAGGTCTGGTCTTTAAAGTGGGCTGATCCTTTAAAAGGTGCAGTAAATATGCAAGGACTCTAGGCTTCAATTTAATTCTTTCTCATTTTACACCTCTCCCTTTGCAATCATATAATTCTCCAGCTCTTTTGCTGACTCCCTAATGTGCCTTCGAAAACACCCCCTTTGAGTCCTGAGAAGCTCTAGCTAATTGGTGACCTTTCCTCCTGTTTTAAAATAACCATGCGGGTGAGATTATAGTTATGTTTGAGCTGTAATTGAGGTGCTTGCACCTTATTATTAGTTATGTATTAGTTTGGAAAATAAAAGAATGAGTCACTAAAATATTGGCTTTTCCTTAACCCCATTGAGGCTGATTCATGCTGGTGTGTGCTGACTTCAGATATTGCACAATTGTGTCATTAATGCTTTCACTTAAACTGTCAAATGTATTGTGTATTGATGTTTATTTTCTGGAACATGGTGGATGTGGATTAATCCTACCTAGAGAGCATTAAAGTTTAGTACTTTTCATCTTCAGAGTGCTTTTTAAACACATCCATCAGGTCTATCCTATAGACTTATATCGCTATAAATACAATGCCTTAAGGATGTGAAAAATCCACATCCTTGAGTGTTGTAGTTGTACCGACCTAACGCTGCCTGACCTGTACATAGTGCTATGTTGGTGGTAGAGTTTCTCCTCTCAACATAGCGACTGTCTCTTGGAGAGGTGGATTAACTATGTTGCTGAGAGAGGCTCTCCTGTCAGCCTAGGAGCATCTTCACTAAAGCAGCACAGCTGTACCAGTGCAGCTGTAGTGCTGTACATGAAGACAAGCCCTAACTCATAAATCATCCTGTGCCCTGGCCATGGAAGTAGTAGCATTCTGATTTTACATGTAGAAAAACAGACACAGAGAAGTGAAGGGTCCCCCAGTAAATCAGAATCAGAGCTAGCTGAGAACTCCCATGCTCCTGGTTCCTTGATCCGGGCTGGACAGCATCCCTTTGTTAATAAGGGGAGAGCAAGCATTTGTTTTTCAGTACGCAACTGGAATCCTGACTTCTACTGTGGCTGTATCACATTTCACTCCAACGTTTGTGAAAAGGCCTTGAAATTAAAGTGACCAGGCTATAGAGCTCTCCTGTCCACAAGAGCAGTTTTGTTTGCAGGTCATTAAGGTTTTGTGTTCACTAGGGGAAAATGGTGCGTCTTCTCTCAAGTTAGCTAACAGAAGGTAAAAATCTAGCGAAGACAAGGCAAGTTGTAGCTTTCAGCTGAGTTAGCTGGTCATGGTGGTTTCTTAGGGCATGTCTGTATTGCAGCATGTCTCAGAGCCCAGGTCAGTGACTCAAGACTCATTGATCTCACTTTTATGGAACTAATAGTATCAGTGTAGCTGTTCTCACTTGGCCTGGAGCCAGGCGCTGACACACAGTCTGAGCAGGGACATCTCCATTGCTATTTTTAGCTCTGTAGCATGGGCTATGTCCATTGGCCCAAGCACTGAGATGCATAGCCGCTAGATTTTCTTTTCTTTTTCTTTTTTTTCTGGGCAAATGTATCCTAACTTGACCTGCTGACCTTTGTGAAAGCGACAGACTGCCTTGTCTTCACTAGAATTTTACTTGGTGTTAGTTAACTCAAGCTGAGAATGCGCCTCTTTCCTGTTTATTTACCCTGTGTGGGCTGATGGATCGAGAATGGGGGTCAGAACAGTTGCAGTTCACTCTCACTGCTCTCAAAAAAGATATACTGGCATTAGAAAAAGTTCAGAAAAGGGCAACTAAAATGATTAGGGGTTTGGAATGGGTCCCATATGAAGAGAGATTAAAGAGACTAGGACTTTTCACATTAGAAAAGAGGAGACTAAGGGGGGATATGACAGAGGTATATAAAATCATGAGTGGTGTGGAGAAAGTGAACAAGGAAAAGTTATTTACTTGTTCCTATAATAGGTGAAGTAGGGGCCACCAAATGAAATTATGGGTAGCAGGTTTGAAATAAACAAAAAGAAGTTCTTCACACAGCGCACAGTCAACCTGTTGAACTCTTTGCCCAGGGGTTGGCATAAGGGGCTCCATGGGCCAATCCGGCCTGCCAAGCAGGTGGATCCGACCCACAGAGGCCCTGCTGCTCCCCCGCCCCCAGGCCAATTAGGGCCTGGGAGCGCGCGAATGCGCGAAGCCTCCTTCTGCCCTGCCACGAGCAGTGCCATGTGCTGCTTGCGGGAGGGGGGGGGGCAGAGGACGCTTTGCACACTACCCTGCCCCACGTCAATCAGGGTCTCACTTCACCCTGCCCCAGCCCTGTGGGGAGGAGGCTTCTCGCATTCCCCCACCCCCAGGCTTTGGGGGTGAGGGAGCGTGCCAAGCCTCTTCCAGGGCATGGGTGCCTAGTGGGTAGAGAGCAAAGGAGCTCCCCCCACCCCTTCCTCTTTAGGCCCCACCCCTTCCAGGGTGGCCCAGGGCTACTTCAAAAAATTTTGAAGTGGCCCCTGGGCAAAAATTATTTTCCACCCCCGTGCTTGCCTGAGGAGGTTGTGAAGGCTAGGACTATAACAGGGTTTAAAAAAGAGCTAGATAAATCCATGGAGGTTAAGTCCATTAATGGCTATTAGCCAGGATAGATACGGAATAGTGTCCCTAGCCTCTGTTTGTCAGAGGGTGGAGATGGATGGCAGGAGAGAGATTGCTTGATCATTATCTGTTTGATTCACTCCCTCTGGGGCACCTGGCATTGGCCACTGTTGGCAGACAGGATACTGGGCTGGATGGACCTTTGGTCTGACCCAATATGGCCGTTTTTATGTTCTTATGTATGTCACCGTGGCAATCCTGCTGTTCCATTGGGTTGTTACCACTTCAGAGAGGGTCACGCTGGATCCATAGCAGCAAAGCAATAACTACAAATTCCCACAGAAACTTCTCAGTGTACTGAAATATGCAGCTCAACAGGGCCCATAAAAATATCATGAGAATGTCACTGATGAGATATTGTATTAGGCAGATATTTTTAAAATACTAGCTGATGCCCTATAGCTATCTGGGAACAATATTTTAGGTGCATCACAGGAAATACTAAGGCATCTGTTGCTGCAGTTGGCTAGTTTCCAGGTCACTGTGCTCCTTTTGTAGTGTGCAAACAGCTATCGTTTAAGGAAAGAATGAAGCACAACAGACAGGCCGGTTCTGGGTCAACTTAGCCCCTGTTGGGTGCTGTTTCAGGGCATGAGGCCAACAAATCAGCCATTTTGACCACTTGAGGAGTATCATATAAATGGGTTTATATGGGAAGGAAAAAATCAAGCTTGCTCATTCACTGGATCGGCAACTGTAGATTTCTGATTGGTTGGCAGTTCTAAGCTCCCCATTATATTTGAGTTCTGATGTCATTTTATCTATATTAATAAAGGCTTATCTGGCAGTGGCTTCTTGAGGTATAAGGTACTTTCATTATCTGATTGGGCAATTCCAAGGACATTGCACCTCAGGTTATTGCCCTAAAATTCCCTGAAAGCAGCTAGGAATGCCAGGAAAAGATCCACCGGAGCCATCATGAAAGTATCTGAAAGATCTGAAGCTCAGACACGTGTGCAACTTGAAATAAACGTACTTCTGTGAACATGGAAGAAGAGAGCGTCTCAGGACCTAGGTATTACTGGTGTTCAGTAAATACAGTAAAACTCCAATTGTCCGGCATCCAGTGGTCCGGCACTCCCGATGGTCTGGCACCAACTGGAACTCGGAAGTGCTGCTGTGAGCCCCATGGGCGCTCGCGGCTAGGAAAGGGAATGGGAGAAGAGGGGAAGGAGATTATACCCCTGTGACGGGTCTGCCGGGACCTGCACTGCGTCCAGCCGGAGGGTAGGGGGTGGGCGGGGAACGGCACGGCGAGGGGCGAACCCTCTGCCGTTTTGTCTCCCCCAGCCATG